TTAGATCGATGGTAGCTGCCAACTTCGTACTTCACCACTGATATTTTCCGTACTGCCAAGTACCTGCCGTCAGACCTTACTGTTTAAACCTGAAAGATGTGTTATTTGTGTTAATTATCGTGAGACATAAGACTATTGTAGGTTTCTTTACTAGCAACCGATAAAATATATTGATATCTATTTCTAATAACTGGTTTAATGAGCATCCACGTCTATACGATATAAGTAACTGTCACCATTATCTTCAGAGAACACCAATGATCAGTAGTAGCGTTCAGTAGCGTCTTCGGTAAATGATGGGCTGAACCGAAGGCCACTTAAATGCTAATATCACATCATGTCAATTATCTGGTAGGTATGCATTTTTTCTTCTCGTATTATCTTCTGACCTCAATTATCGGTTGGCTCAAGTCGTTTTGATCAAGATTGCCATTACCCTAGGGTCAACATGCAGTCACCTGTATTTAAGTGACTTGTCCTATTTTCCATCCTCGAATCCTTGTGGCAAGGCTTCCAAGCTCTTCATTCTCCTTTCCAAGTTCATGAAATATGCACGAAAGCTCTTGAAATCAAAGCGGCTCGTCCCGATCAATCGGTTCCGTTTCGAATTACAGCTGCAGGAGATCGCTAAAGCGTCGGTGTAAATATCTTCGAAGAAAGGCTATCTATTACAATCTGGAACAGAGGCAAAGAAGAGGTTGCGTTCAAGGCCGCCGTCAGTTCATTGAGGAGAGCCTGCGTTCACCTCTAGGAAATTACCGGCTGAAAATAAGCCAAAAGGAAGAAGGGAGACGAGCCTAGAGGTAAATTTAAGGACCATCCTTGCGACAATGTACTTGGAACAGCAGTAGCTCATTGTGTTCTTGAACGCCGAAAGTGAGACCGGTTGGTTGGCGCCAGCTGCTGAGGTATTTCAGGTTGAGGCGAGGTTGTTATAGGCACCGTAAACTGTCCTGGTCCGACCGATCTTCGTTTTTGCTCGTTTCGAGGAATAACTTGGGTAGCCCTGCGATAGACTGCTGGAGCAGTGACACAACTATTGCAGTAGTCTTTCGGAGGGTAATCTATCAACGTCGACGTATACAGTACTTACCACAGCGACGGGCAGCGGGAATGTCTGCTGAGCCTTCCGCTGCTCACGCTTCTTGCACTTGATTTAATAGTCGTTAAGGGGCTGCTAATGCTTATTGAAGAACCGCTCTTAAGGCTTATAGCCGCAGCACTGCGCGCAACAAGTTTAACTACTTATGTCTATTGAAAGAAGGTAACTATTGAATCTCCTGGTGTTATTACGATAGTTTTCTGCTAAGATTAATGAAGCACGCCACGAGCGCAAAAGACGTAGCAAATAGATAGGCAAGCTTGCACGTGTAAAGAAATATGTCTATTCTACTCACTGCAAAACTATCGTATTGCGGTCCTTGAGTGTAACGTACCTGATGGAAATCTATGTTAAAACGTGTCGTACGCTTATGATCGCCTTCGTTATGAGCACGGCATCAACAACAAAGGATAATGGGGAGTTCATAAAACTACATCATTTACATTTGTCTTTTAAAAACTAACTCCATTTTTATAACAAGCTCATGCTCTGTATTGCAACTTAAGGCAGTTTATATTACATGATGGTCTCGTATAACTTTCACAACATGTTGCGGGGCCATGTTCTCTTCCACGCGACCTTGTCACGTTTTTGCAAATGCAATTTTGGTGAATTTCACAAAAAAGTTGTGTTTATCTTAAAGACCATAAATCATAAGCGAGGATATCGATAAAAAAAAAGGAGAATAATTCGAACGAACTAAAACTTCAGCTCGTAAGTTGTATATATAATGATACGTATATATTCTTTAGCGGCTTAATCGTTGCTTGATTAAAGAGACTGTATAAAGCGCATAACAATACATGGATATAAGAACGGCTCACCTCCAAGAACATGGATTATACATTTATACGAGTACTGGCTAAATGGACTCTGTCGCAGCTCGATCAAAATTACTTGACACAAAATGTCCCGCCAAACGTTAAACAACAATAAATTGTCCTTATAAATTTGGTTTGGCCGAAAAGTCAAAAATATTAACTCGACAGTAATAACAAGTACAGAGGAATTCAAAGCAAAAACGGTTTGTTATTAAAATGTTTGTAACTTGGTAATTAACAACGTAGTCGTAAAATAGAGGTCGCCTAAAGTACGAACGAACAGTAACGCCATTCTTACGTTGACGTGATCTCGAACGTATGCATCTGGCTACAGCTCTAGCACGCTTAAAGTACTTACCATAGCCGAGTACTTGTTTTCCGGTCAGTAACAATAGGATGAAGGCTAGTTATGGGGTCGATTCAGCTAGATGTGACCTGTACGAAACAACGCCGTTATTGCGTTTGGTTATTCAAATTTATTTCAAATGATTACGATGGGATTACGTAATTTCTGCTACAAACTAGTAGAATTAGACGAAAATAGAGTATTCTTCTATTAGATACTTTTAGCAGACGAACATTTCCCTAGATAAGCTCACCCTGCATAAATAAAAAATGGCAACGGGAAAGAGTCCTTCAGATGGCCAGTAATCATGTACTGTAGCACGTCAATAGCGAACTAAATCAAAGTATGACATAGACCAGGTTCCCGGAATCGGAAATAGCCAGTCATGTTATAAATTTCCCGAACAAGTTAGTAATGACCCATCTTAAATCGACCGAAATTAGCGAGAGACCAGCACAGAGTGGCAAATTACAGTTACACTGATTGTATATATATCAATATACTTTCTCCATATGACTACCTTATACTAGTTAGTACTTTTCTAAACATTATTTTATGCGGATGAGCGAACATTTCGAGTAGAATTCGTTCGGTGCTGCAAAATATGCTCTTTGGTGGGATAGGCGGTAGTCGGCCATGCAGAGATTCGCCTACTTGTCAAACAAGCTATATATGACGACTCTGCTTGAAAATCCTTAACCGAATAGTTATCTAGACATGATTAAGCCTGGCAACGGGCTTTTGACTGACTACACGATGCTCATATACAGTCATTTTCCTTTCAATTTAGTCATTTATATTACGCCCTAGGCAATGTGCCCATCATGAATAACTATGTCGTCGTAAATGGGCTCTCCCCAATAACGTTTGCTGTGCTTCCGTCTAGCGTATCTCAAAAGACGACCTGCTTGGCGCTTCGTCCGAACCCCACTCGATTGGCAACGTTCTAAGTGTTTGGAGTAGCGTATCTGTGTGCTTAATTGCCTACAGGAAGATTTACTGTCGCCAACGTTATCATGTAGAAGGTCATGTGTTCTGAAGTATCGGGCGACCAGAACCGCCTATCTCGCATGCCGCAAACTTGCCAAGTGTAGGATTAGCGACAGTTCCACCCAGCGTTCTACCGAACTGGAATGTTTTCTATAAGAAGAATGCTTCTCAAGCCATTTAGTGTTGAAATTTACATTCAAAAGTTGGAACTCGGCGAAGACTGGAAGTTTAATAAGAAGATACGTTCATGCAGATTCGAAGCAAAATTGCTGACTGCCATTGCCAGGATGTATGAAGGAAGTAGTACCGACATTTGCTAATATGGGAACTTACTCTGCCCTGATCTATGATACGATAGTTAGGACTAATGTTTGCCATTAAATCTCTTTTTGGATGTGGATGGGAATCATTAATACGTTGTTTGGATATGCTTGAAAATCATAATTTTTTATCGACAGAAAACGTGCCCTGTAAACAGGGACATCATATGAACAAAATTCGAAGAAGCTTGTTCTGAGCGTTTATTCAGACATCGACCGCAGGTTGACGCTAATGCTTGGAGCCGAGCAAGTCGAGCGCATGATAACGCAACGTTATGGCACTTTATAATACTGTAAAATGTCGCTTGTATATATATGCATATATAGAAACTAAAAATAAATATCAAATAAGGCCTTTGGCTGACTGTAACAAGTTCCACTTCGAACTAACTTTTCTTTGAAATGGGCAACGATAGGCATAAAGCAAGTGTCCATCAAATAGCCAGCTTAAGGAGTATCAATCCGCTCACTTCAACAGAGATACTCCAAAGAGTAGGTAGATAGCAGAATACGAACAACTAAAACCCATAGATGGAGACGCGACGGCAGGTTTGTACTACGGCGGCGCTGAAAGGACACCGCCTAGTGCCCGAACTCTAGTGATCGTACTTGATAAAACGTATATATTTGCTAGGCTAACTTTACTCTGAAGGTCTAGACATGAATATTATGCTTTACGTACAGGATACTATTACCGACTTTTAGAATCTCGTGTTCAATTACTTTCTATTAAATCAACGTATTTCCTTTCCTCTCAAACCAAGCTATGTATCTTCTGGACTGCGCCTGTCAGATGCCGCAATATGCATATTCTGTGACGATTTTTTCGACGCATCGTGGATACATAACGCCTTGAGCCAGGAGGCAGCCACCTCGGCAGAGTCGGAAACTTCTGAACTCTGAGGATGGCTATTTATAAAGCTAATAAGCTATTTAAAATGCGTCTGCTTGAGGTTCTGCGAAGCCAAGAGAGTTCCGTCTCTCCGATTTCTCCGTCCTTTCGTGAGTAAAACGAAAAACTGTTAAGGAGCATCGGACGCCCCTTAGCTGCGTCCTCATTTATGTCTTACCTGCTTAAGATGGAACACGAGCTCGCAAATGTGATTACTGAATAATTCCCTGGTTTGCTGGCAGCTGAAGACACTTGGGAAGTGACGTCGTCATCTCTGCGTGTTTTTAGTGATTGAAAGACATGGGACGCTCTGCTAATAATTACTAAAATGCTCACACGAACATCACTGTAGATAGATAAACATAATAATTAGATAATCTAGATCAAGACTTGCTCTTATCATAAGGTAGTATAGTATGGTAGAATAGTGACATACGACGAGTCGCGATTCGTTGGCGATCGTCAGTAAATACTAGAAAAGGTGGAACGCGTTAAGTGAGCACCCAATGAGTGTCACCGTTTGTTTCAGGAGCTGGTGTCGTCAGCGCCCGACAGCCGAAACTACAAAGGTATCGGTATTGCACTGCTCGTCATTGTTATCGTCTGCGCGCTCATTGTCACCGCCGTCGTGCTGCTCACCCCTCGTGAGTACCAGCTTACCTCTAGAACAGTAACAACTATTTTATATACATCTACACACAGATATGATCATAAACAGATTAGGCTCGTTTGCCTGGGTCATGCATATGCAGGTGGGAGATGCAGGCTGAATGTGAGAACGGAATAAATGATAACTTTTCATCAAGTATTGTCAAGATGTGGGCGGGCAGGTTATTTTGTGAAGCGAAGTGTGAAGTCCCTGTATTGGTCAAGGGCCTAGTTTGACTATGCGACAAATTTTGTGGTGAAAAATAGTTAAAAGGATAACAATAACAATACAACAAGTTATTAACAAACTGCAACTTGAAATGACTACTCGTATGGGTGATTGTAGTTGTTATTTATATTTTTTTGGCAGCAAAGGTTACATCGGTTCATGATCAGTTCCACTATTTAGTGGTCCCGTCAAATGCACAAACACATACAGGTTAGTCAGTGAAACGCACAGGAATCGCTTGTTTGATATAGCAATCTCTATATGAAAACTTAGTATTTATCTGATATAGGCGCGACGTGCTGTAGCTTTCTTTGACGTCCTTTCCTTAGAAAAAGAAAAAAAACTGATGGAAGTGTTCAAGTAACTCAAAACGGAGGCGTCTGCAGCTTGTCTCCGTTAGATTTTTAATAGACCGACGCTACCACCACTGCTAGAATCACCACGATCCCATCAGCTATTATGAAAATATTCTGCTTCAGCCTCTTGCATGCATCCCTCCATTATAAGGTACCATCATTTTGTACATTATCATTACGAGAAAGTTCATAATCATAGCTTTCAGGGTTAGCTAGGCATGTGCCTTGACCTGAACATTGCCTTTAACCAACGAATATCAATAATGATAAGTATTATAAGTTCTTGATAGCGTATTGTTCCATGCATGTGTTATAGACAATATTAGCGAAGTAAACGTCTTTTTGTTCGATGATAAATCACTAGCGAAATAAACTTACACATATATTCCCTATTAAATTTTATATATATATACATATAGAATCAAACCTGTAACAAGTTTGCCGAATCTACTCTTGTTTCTACCTATACTTAGTTACTGTAACTTTGAAATTGCATTGTTAGCTATTATTATCTCATACCTAAAGTGAGTTTTTTTTCCCCGTAAATGAAAACACTTTTACTGCTTGCCTTTAGGTACTTTGTATAACGAAACGTTTGAATAGCGTCACTCCAGTCACCCATTTTGACACTCAGCGGCATACCTACGAATATATATCAACCAGTTTGTTCTATAAATGAATGAATGAAGTAGTCGTGGCGCACGATCGAGGATCCCTTACGGGGATCTCAGGAAAGGCGCCTGCTTGAAAGGGAATCGTAACGGTAGGGGGAAAGGCAAGGGCGCTTCAGAAAATCCTGTCCTGCTGAATAAAATTGTGCTTCTCTCTCGGCAGGCCACGTCGATGGGCAAGGTCAGACCCGGAGTAAGCTGCATAACCGTAGCCGGTCATGTAGCTGACTCTAGGCAACCGTTATTCTAGACCAGGTAGCTCAGCCGTTCGCTCTTGTTCCGATTAATTTCGTCCACCTTCTGGATTACACCGCTCCTATCTTGCGTTTTGATATCTGTAGCAGGACCGTGTTGTAGACAGGCTATGGGCAAAGCTTCGAAAACAGCAGCCCCAGTGCATGGTATACTACCCACATCGCCAAGTACAGTACAATCTGCAACATGCTCTCTATAGCGATTTACTTTGTCCACAGTGTTACCTTTCTGGTCTTTAAATGCTACACCTTTATAAGCTTAACATCAGAATAACCACTACTACCACCGAAGGTCAGCACTAGTTCAATATGTCGATAATAGCAAACACATCACAAAAGTGGATATTCGATGGAAAATGCTGAGTGTCAAAGACGCAGCCGCAACAATTGTAAATGCTACAGGTCAACTATTGATTGACGCATCAGGCACAATTCTAGCGAGTATCTATCTATCTATCTCTAGCCGAAGTAAGAAATAGAATCTGGCACTGTTTCAACGAATGTACAAGTTACAATTCATACTTGGTTAGGTTCTTACTAACCCTTATCATGTCACGTAGTGACTGGATGTTCCCGTAATTATTATACGGCAACGGTGCACGTAAGAATAGTGCCGGTACGCATGCGAATAAAGGCAATAAATTAAGGACAATTCACCAAACTATATGGTAAAAATAATAATCAGCATATCTATTTTACGGGCGATATGCAGACGTAAATATTGAGTACCGCTACGAGCTACACCTATCTACGTATAGGCAGATATCATCAATATGTAGCATTAGGTTATAAAGTACAGTTTAGCTTCTCACCGTTATTTCATGTTAGGCCTTATACGGATCTAACTGCCGGGGACATGATTGAGGAGTCTACCATTGTTATGCTCGTTTTGTTACGGTATACGGAGAATTACAGTAACTTTACACTGTGCATAGAATGCGTCTGATACAACTGGGAATTCACGTTTAGCCCACTTTGTTGAAGTTATTCAGTGGCCTGAGTTTGAACGTCGATTCCTAGCGTGGTTCGGTTGTTCCCAGATCAGACAGCCTGCGGGCAGTCACAGGACTTGTAGTTAATGAATCCACATGTTTCGACCTGCATCTCAGAGCTTTGAATGAAAATGACTTTAACCTAAACCTATTTTACAGATTGTTCGAAGACTGTGCCTGTTAGAAAAAAAAATCAGACATCAGCAATGAATGCAGGGGTAATCTATGGGCCTTTTTATTTCACAAAAAATAATGCTTTTTTTTCTGCGCTGTCCTTTTTATCCTTCTCCCGGTTAGATACGGGGCCAAAATCTGCGTTGTAAATTGAGTTAAAGAATATTCAACGGCGCTCACTATGTCTCCTCCGTTAGCACCGAATAACATCACACACACAAGAAACCTATTCCGAAGTTCTCCCTCTGAGCAAGAAAACCAAGGCTAATTTAGTTATCCACCCATCTGAGGCAAGAGCTCGGAAACCATTCTTAAAAGTATTGTCAAGTTGTACAAAGTAATTCGTGTAAAAAATTAAATTCGCTCTATATTATTAAAAATTAAATAAGCTCTATATTATAGAAGTTCATCGTCTGAGGTACAAAATCAGCGTAACTTGACGATATATCTATTTATTCTTACGCAAATTGTTCTGCGTAGCAAGCGGTCAGCCAATGTACTAATGTGAATTTATATGCGAATTATAAAGGATCCGGGCGTCGATCAAACAGGTCCAGAGGAAAGACAATACCCCAACTTATATTTTGAAATGGTCGTTCCTATAAGTATAGGTGACATTCGTGTTTAGTTGAATTCATGAGTAAATGATACGCTACATTAAACTGAACACTCTGCTCGCAGTTCTTTCTTGACGTACTCAGAAAAATGTGACAAAAAGGCGGGTTCAACTTAAAAAATCGTACATTATTGTGTAAGAAACCCTTATCAGTAGAACTGTGTTTACGCTTTAATTTAAGGGATGTGTTACATCAATAAAATCTTGTTTCTGTCAATGTATCCACACTGGGCTCCAAAGGTTGAAGATGTGAAGGTAATAAATAAAATAGCGGTTTAAGGTTATAAGGTATAGATGTTCGTATACGAAGCTGCACGGATGCCGGATAACGCGGAAACTGACAGTAACGTATTCCCGTTTGAAGACGGCTGAACTATATCCAGGATGAAACGTCTAGATCAAAGGAGTTTAAGCTGGATATTTTAGCTTAAACTCATTATCTACAAAAAATATCACCTATTTGACAGCTACTTACAAGCACATCTATTACCATACAGATAGATACGGTACTGCTATCTTGCCTATACGTATCTTCGTTATGCTTGTTAGAATTTAGCATTTGTCCTGTGAATGAAAACCTTTTAAATAGATGCATCGATAAAGTTTATCTCTTTTCATTTGACAAATCGTTGCTTGTTCTACTAAAAAAAACATAATGGAAAACTGTCATTTTTGCAAATCGTATAAAAGATACTTCATTCCTATCCACTGATCTCTGTCTTGTCGCCTCGAAGAATTAATGAGGGATTTAGCTCGGTGAGAATCACAATTGGATTTCGCCTGTCGAGGGAGCTTTCCTGGAGGCGAGTCATTTAGATGGGTCGCATGGCACCGGACTGTCACACCGTTGGCGAAGACTCTTGTGAAACGCTGCCTCATCAACGGGATGCTATAGAGTTTTAATGTTTTTGACTCACTATCAGCTACAGTGTACAGCATGCTGACCTTTTAATAACTCTGTGAGCCGTGTAAAATCAGGCAAATCTTTCCTCCAACAAATTCTCTGTGGGAGCTGATCCGTAGCGAACACTTCAATCGGCACTAGATCGGGCAGTTACCAGCATTCTGACTGCCTAGTAAGCGACAGGAAAACAAACAGAGAGGCCTTTCACAAAAGAATACTCTTCTCAACACATGGATCTTGTTGGAAGGTCAACCATAGCTGACACTTGTTAAGTATACTAAGAATCACTTTCGGCGTGAGTACTGACATGATTTGCAAATAAGTATTTCGACACGCAGAAAGCAAGCATCCTTACTTGTGATCTATTGTAATGTAGCAAGGCTTAACAGCTATATTCGGCGTAAAACTCCGAATGTTTAGTTGTGTTTCAGGCGAAAACCGCGATTCTGTTTTGTTAACACTGGCCATTAATACGATAAACACCCTTGTACGAGAAATTTTCAGGCCATGGGTTTGTAGTTACCCTCGTTTTCCCATAAGGATCGTCCGGAGGTTTCGTTCTAATTATTTCTTTTCATGTTTTCAATTGTTGCCAAACCTTCTACTGCGGGCGATTGCCGTCCTATTGGAACCACTTCCAGTCGTCCCCTAAATCAAGACGACGTCGTCCAGTTGGATCCTTATCAGAATCTGTACGTATGGAAGATATGTCCCTTGTTGCTATTGCTTCTGTATGAAAGCCGCGAAAAACTGAAAAATGTTTTGTGGTTTTCGTCGCTAACGCACGAGGCTAGCCTACG